GAGATAGGCAGAGGCGACCTGATAGGAAGCCTGCAGCAGGGGAAGGGGCTGTCCTGTGACCTGCTGTCCTTGCCCCCGGGTCTGAAGGTGCCTTGAGGGCTCCCTGCCTCGCTTCAGTGTCACCTGCCTGAAGAACTCCCAGCACTTCCCTCGGGGCTTGTGTGTGGACACGATTTCCCTCCTCTGGCTGAAGAGTCCTTCAAGGTCAGAAGACGGAAGGAGAGCAAGAAGGGTGACCGAGACTCCTGGCTCCAGGCTTTCTCACGTTCTCCCTTGGCACCGATGATAAAAAATGAACAGGGCCATGACTGACAAGCCCAGGGGGATAATGTCGCCAACGAAAGGTGGAGAGAGAGGCCGCGCCCTAAATCAGGGGTTCTCAAATGCTGGTGCATGTCAAACTCACCTGAGACTTGTTAAAGAGGTAGGTCCCAGGGTTTGGCTGAGATTTAATGACCCCCAGTTCCTAAGGGGGAGAGACTCTAATGCACCAAAGTTTCAGCACCGCCGCCACCACCGCAGCAGTTCTCAGAGTCCTTGGAGTTGTCTTCTGTGTGTGTTGGGGGGTGGGGGTGGGAGACGAGTGGCTGTGGGGGTTGGAGTGGGAGGGCATAGGTTCTAAAGTCATGTGAAAATAAATTACCATTGGAAAACCACCTGACATCACTCAGAAGATCTATATATGTAAAAGGCTACTATGCTAAGTGCCCGACCGTCCGACCGGTTGCTATCATGCACACTGACCACCAGGGGACAGACGCTCAACGCAGGAGCTGTCGAGCTGCAGTGACTTGGCAGCAGTGGTTCTCAGATGATGCACCCTGAAAGCAGAGAGGAGGGAGCCCGATTTCTTGCGGGGCCATGCGATTCCGCCTTATGTTGTTGCTGGGGCACTGTTGCCCTGAATCTCGTTTATTGTATACTTGCATTTGTGTCCCACACCCTGTACAGCAACTTTGCAGAGTGCCCTCTCACACTCCAGGACCCCCTTGGGGGATGTTGGAGAGCTGGTTTCGGCCCGATCCCTGCAGGCCAGGCCAGGGGACCCCACCTGCCAGAGGGACCCCGTTTACTCAGCAGATGCCGGGGAGGGACCATAGGAGATGGGCTCCAGGGCGTGTCCGGCCCATCTCGCCCAGTCCCACCCCACCAGCCATTTTCTAATTAGTTTCCTGCACCGGCTCACTAGTACAGTATAAATGTTTTTTTTCTTGGGAGGGGGCTGTGTGGAAATGTCAATATAATGTGTAATGCTTACATGGTATATACTATATGGGGAATGCATATGCAAAACAGGATTCTACACCAAGCATGTCAAACTCAAAGGCTAACACGGGCCAGATAAACAGGGTTTACATTGATGTGGGCCGCAAGAAAACAAAAGCTTCAATTTTCATAGAAACGTAGATTTATTTTGATAGAGACATGCTGAATACAAAGGGCTGAAATGAATGATTGATTGTTAACATAAAATAATAGAACATTTTAATAAAAGTAATATTTTTTCTTGAACATTCACTTACCAGACACTGAATAACTGCACAAATTAGTAAGCGTAATGCCAATAAACCTATTTTTCTTGTTCTCCGAAAGTGAAATATTTCCTGGTGCGCGCACCAAACAAGTCAGGCCAAGACTAATGACGTGGCCATCGGCTGCTGAAATATTCGCTGCTGGTATCAGTGGAGAGAAATGGTGTGCCTGCGCGTATGGCGCGGACGGGAAACGAATGCAACACGATTATAGTCATGTCATTAGCGAACATTGTAGTTCGTTATTAATAATTATGTGTAACAGGATATTGTAAAAATTAAGATACAAAATTTTTATTAAAACGTTTCTCACATACTGTTATGTTGCCTGGGCCGCAAAAACATTTGTTGTGAGCTGAATGCTGCCCGAGGGCCGCGAGTTTGACATGCTTGCTCTACACTATTTTAATTTATGCGGGAAGAGTATCCCTCGAAGTCGAATTTGAGTAAGTTAAAGGCTCCCGCTCTCTGACCCAGGGACAGGAGAACAAGATCATCTCCATTTTACACTAAGAGGGGGAGCTTGGTCAGTTAAGGGACTTGGGTTGAGTGCTGGGACTGTGATCTTTGCGTTTTCCAGCATTTCCCTGAAGGGTCAAGTTCAGGGCCTGGGATCCCAAACATCTAGTTTGGAAGACGATATCCTGAGATAAAAGCGTGGGTGGTGGGTGGTGCGCTATCAGCAGAGTGAGACCCAAAATGACTAACAAGGCTGGAGGCCATGATATGAGGTGGAGATCGTGTCCCATCTGAACCGTAATTAATGACCAAGGTCACTTAAATAGCTTTGTTTCCTTCCCACAGCAGTTACCTTTACATCTTCATTTTAATAATTTTTAATAAAAAAGAAAGTCAGTCTTTCAGAGAGAACAGACTTGCCCAAATAGAGGGGGGGGAAATCTCAGGAAAGGCCTCCTTCTGCACCTGGAAATCCGAAACACCCTGGACCTGCAGTGGGAGGGGGTCCCAGGCGTCCACTGACAAGGGTGCCCGGGAAGCGGTCTGCCCCTGCGACAGGCTAGGCGTCACCCGGAAGGGCTGTGCTAGGCTCGCTGCTGGCCTGATCGCGCCCAGTCCCGCACACCTGTGTCGGAGGCTGCTGCTAACGTCTCTGTTCTGTGAATTGGGAGTTGGGTGCTTTGCCCAAAGTCACTGGTTACTCTGTACAGGGATAGATTTGAGTGCCTACTATCTGTGCTAGGCACTTTTCTAGGCATCTTACATGAATTAACTCCTTTAATCCTCATACCCACCCCATGAAATAGGTGCCATCATTATGCCATTTTAGTAACTGGCTGGGTTCACACAGGGTGGGTTCACACAGGTGAGCCCAGGAAAGGAATTCAGAAGCTCTGGCCTCAACCCTTAGTCTGCATCACAATCACCTGAAAGGCCTGAAGACAGTGCTGGGCTAGGTTTGGGGGAATGCCCGCGAATTTCCATTTCTGCAAGTTCCCCGGGGATGCCATGCCTGGGCAGCTGGCTTTGAGAAGCACTTATCACTGCGCTACAAACCCTACTGGCCACCAAAGTACACGTGTTTGTAAAAAATTCTGAGAACTATTTGCAAAAACATTAAAAATGATTCCTAGCCCTAGCCGGTTTGGCTCAGTGGTTAGAGTGCCTGGGCCTGCGGACTGAGGGGTCAGGGCGCCATGCCCGGGTTGCGGGCTGAGTCCCTAGTAAGGGGCGTGCAGGAGGCATCTGATCCATGATTCTCTCTCTCATCATTGATGTTTCCATCTCTCCCTTCCTCTCTGAAGTCAATAAAAATACATGTTAGAAATAATGCTTCCTAGAATTTCTCCCTGTGGAGGCTTTCGCTGCAGCTCCGTGCTGGTCAGGCAGGTCAAACGAGATCACAACGTGTCCTTCCGGCTGAATCCTGCACCCAGGCCTCCTTCACCCAAGCCTCCTGCACCCAGGCCTCCTGCACCCAGGCCCCCTACACCCGGGCCCCTTGCACCCCGGGGCCCCTGCACCCAGCCCTCCTGCACCCGGGCCCCCTGCACCCCAGTCCCCCTGCACCCGGGCCCCCCTGCACGCGGGCCCCCTGCACCCAGCCCTCTTGCACCCAGTCCCCCTGCACCCGGTACCCCTGCACCCAGTCCCCCTGCACCCGGTACCCTGCACCCGGGCCCCCTGCACGCGGGCCCCCTGCACCCGGTACCCTGCACCCGGGCCCCCTGCACCCAGTCCCCCTGCACCCAGGCTGCCCGCCACGTGCGCGAGGCAGGGCGGCCAGGTAAAGGCCTCCCCAGGCTCGGGCTCCCGCCTCGCTCCGGCGCCAGGACGCCAACACGGCCCGACCACGGGCAGCCCGGCACTCGCACGGATGCCGCCCCCGGTTTACGGACGGTCTCCCGACTTCGCTCTGCCCGCCGCGGCGCAGGCGGTCTCGCCCCGTCCAGCTCTCCAGAAGTCGCTCCGGCTCCGGCCCCGGCCTCGGCCCGGTTCTCCAAGGGCAAAGGGGCAGCCGGAGGGAAGGGTCCTCCTGGGAGAGGGGCGGCGGGGCGGGGAGGGGGACCGCCTGGGGCAGCGGGGCGGGGCGGGCGGGGCGCCCCGGAGACAGCGGGCGGAGGCGCGGCCATCTTGCGGGCGCACCTCGCAG